GAGATGCCCTCGGTAATAATCATGCCTTTAATTTGTATAATAAGTCAATTCACTCTAAATTTTAAATTAACGAAGATAATCGCGATCTACTGAGCGTAAAATTTGCTATGCTATGCACTTGTACGACGGAGACAACACATGCGCATGCGGGTGTGGCGTCCTCTTATGTTATAGTTGGTGCTTATTRTAATATAATATTTATCGAGGTTTATTTGACGGGAATGGTTTATCATAAAAGTATAGATGGCGCTAGATTCGCTCRTGTACGATTCCCCCTCGTACACCTCTCTCGCGTACACTTGAGCCCGGCGGTAAACGTCTCGTTTCCAGTCCAGTGTAGTAGTCCGTGATCCCGAGTAATCAATATTACAAGYTTGGCGAATGGCAGTTGACATCAAAAATAACAACAGGTCAGCCAACTTAACTGTTGTTGTATTATTTTATAACATCCGTGTATTTCGGTATCAGTCGATACCTGGTTCATAGTTATAAACACGAGTGGTATTGTACTCTCCGCAGTTTTGTTGTATACCCGAAACGACCGGACGCCAAATTGTTGCTTACGAGTTCCGWATTACGAATAAAATCGATATGGTGGTTTGCAGTACAACACATTAACACTACAACGAGACGCGTCAGCCGGTCGTTCGTACGCCGTATCCTGTGACACGAGTTTGAATTTATGGTTTTTCAACYAGCAGTTTTTAATGTTTTTAATATCTGTGCGTTCGTTCGGTGTTGGTAGGTCGATTGGTGGTTGATACTTAAATTATGGTTATTTTATCAGTCAGCGTTCGTTCGTTCGTATTAGTAGCTGACTAGTGACTATTGTCGGCGTCGTTCGGTGATTCACTCGTTCGTCACTTATTGACCGCCATTATGCAATCTGCTCGCGATTGCGTAGATCGCGACTGATGCGTGTCCGATTCGCTCTGGTTAAATAGTTATTGCGCAAGCTGCCCAGTTACATAATTAGTAAAGTTTTTCTCTGAGTCGTTTTGTTTACAACGGCTCAAATCGTCTGTTTACGGTTGTCATTCTTGATTCATTCGGATAGTTGTCTCAAATAACTAGGTAATAAAATTGCTATTTGTTTTATTTTTTCATCCTGTTTGATATCTACCTATTCAAGTTTTTCTACAATTAATTTAATCTTTATTCATAATTGTTGGTATTATAATATTATATCATGATATATATTATTGATATATTATGTTGTATGCGTTATGTGCCTATAGGAGCATCTTACTTTTATGGTTATTTATCTTATATATACATAAACTAAACCTATTCACCTCAATTATACAATGTAATATATACTTACATATAAATATATATGAATTATCATATAAATACTAGGTATATAATAAAATTCAATTTGGTACTTATTCATTTAGATAGGTTTATAGCTATCTAGTCCAAGTCCAAAAAATACATCATTAATAGCGTACCTACCTATTAGGCTCATTACCWACTTAAAATTATAAATATAAACACTTAGGTATGTTTGAACAAAATAGCTTATTTCCTTATTTAATTGCATTATTAGACGTATAGGTACGGATGTATAGTATCCTGTAATTTTAAATTACAAATAAATATAAGGAACAAATTCAACTTATTARCATATTATTTTTAATATTCCATTAACTATTACTTAGTTAACTATTAACTTTTATTTTAAATTAACTATTAGTTAACATTAACTATTACTTAGTCTTACTAAGTTATAAATGTAACTTTAAARAAAAACTGCATACCTACCTAAAATAATTTTTTTTATAGATACAATGAGTCAGTGTTTTGTTTGTGATGGAACATTGGGTAATAAAAATACTCGGTTGTCTACAAACATTACACCATTTAGTAATGTGCCATACCTAGAAAAGATATCTGAGCTTCTGGGAGAAGAATTTGTGATTGCTGTTAACTCTGATGATCATATGTGCCAGAAATGTACATCAATGTTGAGTCATATTGACAAGTTGGAAAATGATTTGAAACTTGTTAAAAACTCAATAATGTCACATATACAAAACAAATATGAAATATTGCCTCTTGGCCAAGCTGAAAATTCCGTTGAGGTAGTGATAGTAATTAAAATCAAACTACCTATGTTGTTATAAAATACTTTTTTTTTAATCTTAAATTTAGAATACCAATCAGTTAAATGAAAATTTAATGGCCAACAAACAGCAAAATCTTGGTCAGTTTATACTACCAAATAAAGTTCCAGTAAAAAAAATTCCTACTATTGTCCCAATGCCAGTCAAAWATCCAATTCAAATTTTAAAAATACAACCACAGCAGAAACAAAATCCGCAACAGGTACAAAATAAGCAACAATTTCAAAAACAACAAAGTGGCGCTAACAGCACAAAATCATTTAAATTTAATACACAATATGTTAAGTATGTATATTATGTTATATAATGTTATTTTGAAGATATTATTAGTACTTCCATTTTAGATTAAAGAAGCTTACTTATTCAATTGAAAGAAAACCTGAAAATCCAAATCCAATTGTTACTCAAACTGAAAGTGCTGAAATCTTAACTCCGGTAAGAATTTAAAAAAAAATGTTCTTTTGGTATACATTAAATAATATGCAATCGATGAATATTTTTGTAGTACTTAGTACTTACTTATATATTTGTATTTTGTTTGATTTTACCACATTCTACTGTAAACATAAAATAATCTTACATAAACATTTAGCTGAATGTATATGAAAAAAAATAAAAAAAAAATAAGGTTAAACTAAATAGTATAATATTATAATAAATATAATAACATTATGGTATAGCTTGACTTAGTGCACAACTTGAATTGTATCTTGTAGCTTTTAATCATACAATATTGCATTCATAATATTAAATACCAGTGGCATAACCAGGATAATTAAATGGGGGAGTGAAGTCTAAGTATAAATTTAGCTAAGTTTTTTTACAGTTTTTGTAAATAAATAACATTTGTTTGGGGAAAATGCCAATAAAGTGTGAAGGCAAGAGGAGTTATGCACCCAAAACTTCCTGGCTGCACTCACCGTCATAGAATAATTATTTTAGCTATGAATTAAATAGTAGCAATATTATTTTTTGTTTTTATTACATAATTAAATTTAAATGATTTATCTATCTCTTTTAAGCAATCATTTAATGGAGGTAAAGATTATTAATTGTTTTTTTAATTGATACAACATAATATTAGATTCATTACCAATGATCAGAATTTACTGCGCTAAAAATAACTGAAATATACTCTATAATATGACCTAAAGAATTTTTAAATAATCAAAAAAATAAATTCATTTCACAATTAAAAAAAATACAAATATACGATAGAATATTCTCTACTAAATATATAAATATGGCTTGCAGTGCCAGCCCAAGATAMGGGCGAACGGGGCGCAACTTTTTTAACGCTTTTTATATACGAATATATTTTATAAATTTTAGCGCAATATTTATTCAATTTGACAAAAATATAGCTAGATGACTAAATTATCTATGACAGAATATTCTGTTATATATTTTACTCCACTTTCCAGTTTTTATTATTATATTACAAATAATTACAAAATAATATACAATGATATATGATCATTAACTCGGGAAAACCAAAAAAGTATGTGTTACAGCTGATACGTCTATAAATGGTATCCAAATAAGTTTTGCAGTCCTTAACCTATCCATAAATATAAGAATTTTAAACAAAATATGTAGGTAAGTACTCGTATAAAAAGTATTAAATGTATTATTGAGCATTTGATTTAGGACGCCTTTCAAAAAATTGCCCTGGACATCAAAATACCTTGGGCCGGCCCTGATGGCTTGTACAATAAATAAGGAATAATAATTATTTACTGTTCAATAGGCCGATTTGCTTGACTACTTTAAAATATATTTTACTATGAACAAAAATTTTGTTATTTACTACTTTTATATGGATTAAAATATAATATAATTAAAATAAATGACAAATTTTTTCAATTTTCAATACTACATAATAATAGCTAAATCCATGAAAACACAAAATAAACATTATTCTATGCAAATTAGCAAAAAATAACACTAAAACTTGAAAAATAGCTCTGAAAACATAAAATACTTCAAATATTATAAAAATATCAATATAAAATTTCATATTTGGAGTACCTGGTGCTTAAAAATGTAGGTGTAGCTCATTTTGCAATTTGCATCTTTAACGATTAGTGTGATCTGTTAACCAATAATTAAGAAATCTTAATTTATGCTGTTAATATTCAATATTATTTAAATTAATTACTTTAACTTTGACAATTTTAATTTAATCTTCTAAATAAATTAAAAACTTTGTTAATATTTAATTCAATTTAGGTACCACAAAAGAAAAATGTGACCTATAGATGCCAATTATGTTTCAAATCTTTTGATAGTCGACCTGTTTGCGTTGAACACATTCAGAAAGAACATAAAAAGTCAGCTACATCAATTTCAAATARGGTAAGTGAAAAATTTAAAGACCATACAAACTTTATATCTTTCTTTGTCATTTTAATTTTTAGAAAAGTGAAATAAAACATTCTTTTACGGATACTGTCAACATCTCAAATCTTCATCCTGCAACTACCCAAAAAAATAATCAAAAATTGAAGTCACTCATGGACATAGATAATAATGAACAGGATAATAAAAATGGCACTTTAAGTACAGATATGATCTCAAACGACAATGTACCTGCTACAAAATATGCAAATACTGAACTAGAAAAAGAAACTGATAACTTTTCGAAAGCTAAGACTAAGACAGTAAAAGAAATCAAACTCATCACAAAATCTGATCCTGTCAAAGAAAAAAAAGTAAAAATAAAAGAAGAAGAAGGAGAAGATAAAAAGAAAGAGGAGGAGGATAAAGAAGAAAAAAAAGGAAAGTATGATAAAGAAGATGCAGCCAAGCTTGAAAAAGATACTCCATCCAGATCTAAGAAAAAAGTTGTTGAAGATTCTGTGAATTTAAAGAACAAAAAAAGGAGATCTAAATTTCGAAAAAATATTGGCAACAATCCATAACAAAAACCTTCCAACCAATACCAGAAATTCAATAACCAACATTGAGATTTATGTAACTGAATAAA